TGTTAGAAGGAAACTTGATCAAAAGCCAGTTGAAAGTAAGAACTTTTGCCTGTACTACCAGCATCTGAGTCCAGTGGTAACATTAGCTATTACTGCAAAAGACTGGGGGGGGCAAACACTGAAATGGAGACAGAAGGGGTGAGGGGTGGGGTGGAAATATTCTCTACATTCACATTTGACCCTTCAGGCAACTCCAAACAAGCCTGATTAGTATGAAGCCACTGGGTCCAATTCACTGCTTTGTTTTCAGGCAGCCGGGGAACTTTCTGCAAACATTCACAGGGAAGTGACACCCAGAGGCCATTTCCATGAAGGGCTCCTCCTTCCAAAACCTTTTGAGAGTTCATCTGGGTAAGCTGAACTCAAACCCAGCATATGGCACAAGGGAGAGGGTGCTTTGCTGTTCAGATTTCTGGGCAACGCTAAACCTTCTACAGTTCGGCTCCGTGTACTGGAGAAATGCAGTAAGAGCCACACACTGGATCCCTTCCCACAGGGCAGGCAGCTGCAGTCAGAGACCTGAAACTTGGACATGCATGCATACAGCTGTCACCAAAAGCATCATGATGCCCCTTTAAGGATCCCTGGTGCATCCACACCTTGAATCTTATGCCCAGTTCTGGTTGTCACACCTCAAAAATGTGATAGAACTAGAGACAGTCTAGAGAAGGGCAGCAAGGATAATGAGTGGTATGGAGGGGCTTCCCTATGAGGTCAGACTAACAAGGACAGATCTGTTCAGTTTAGAAAAAGAGACACATGAGGGGGCACATGAGAAGGGTTTACAAAATACTAAGTGGTGAAGTGGAAGTCAACCGGGATTTCTTATGGACCATCTCTCACAAAACAAGAACTTGGGGTCAAAACATGAAACTAATAGGTAGCACATGTTTAAAGCCAACACAAGACTGCTCTTTTTCACCCAGTGTGTCACTAAAGTGGGGAACTTGTTGCCACCAGATGTAGTGGAACCTGAGTTTAGCCAAATTAAAAATGGATTGGACACATTCTTGGAGGAAAGGGGCATCGGTAGCTATTGAGCATGGGAGTGAGGGGCACGGCCTCTGGATTGGACCTTCCTGGACCTTAAATTCTTGAGGCTGCAAGTGAGAAAAGAACAGGGTGTGGAAAAAACCCTGGTCAAACCCAGTTCACTCTCCTCAACAGCCACTCTCTGCCCCAGTGTGACACAAGAAACTGGGCAAGGTAGACCTAGTGTGACCCAGGAAATGGCAGGTTTTATGTTTTTATGTACTGCTAGAGCAATAAATGCTGGGCAGAGATAAACCACATGGGTCCCTGCCCTAAATAGCCAACAACTGGAGTAAGCAATTAGCTGCTTCAGGGCCATTCACCCTTCTTTATTGCTACCATGTATGGTGGCTATGAAGGGTGTGGAGAAACTAACTGATTTCCCCTGTTATTTAATTCCCAGACACTTTAGCACCACTATCCTCTTCCTCTTATGATTACTACTGACACACAATAGGAGTTCTTCTTCTGGATGAGGATTGCTGAAACCCATGGAGCGAAGGCAGAATTCAACACGCACATAATTTTCCTCAATTATTAACACAAGGGCATTGCAGGAGAACAAAGTTAGTGCCACAAGATACAAGTGGAAGATTCCAGGTTGCAGAAGAAAAATAAAAATGCATAAATGTAGTCTTATGTAAAATCGTCCTATTCAGATATGCACTGAAGCAATTCTATGGATTTCAGTTAACCCCTTATTAAAATCCTCCTGATGAAGGCTTAAAAGCTTCTGAAACAAAAGCTTTTTAATTACAGTGCTGACTGTGCCCTTTCATTATAATTAGGGGCTGCCAAAATTCCCCACTGCCAGCTATTTTTGAGGGGTAATAACTTGACCATTTTGATTCAGAGTGGAGAAACTTGGCACAGGGTTGCAGCCAGATGCAAGCCTTGTTTTACAAATTAGGTTTCAAGTGGTCTTTAAAAAAAATTAAAAATAGAGGAATAGAAACAGGGCCAGAGGCCAGCCCAGCCTTGCAAACACCACCCTCTTTGCAAGAGTTAGCCCCTAGCACGGGTTAACCCACGTGAGCATCACAGCGCCAACAAGCTGTGTCAGACACTGCATCACACTCCAGGCCCCCAAAGCCCGAACTTGGCTCAGAAAATTTTAAGTAAGAGAAAATGCTTCACTGCAGGAGATGCCAGAGCAGAGGGATCTCAAGCAAGCCTTCTGGCTGCCCCTTTCCTCCCCAAACTGATCCATATGAGATCATGGTGATGAAAAGGTGAAGGAATCCAAGAAGAGGGCTTAATCCAAGTCCAGCAAAAATGGCTTTTTTGGACAGAGGAAGGTATGTGTTCCAGTGAAGGAAAGCAGGAAGCAGCAGGACCAAATTACAGTCATTTTAGCTTGTCAGCAGAGATAACCCTAGGCAGAAACTAGTGCTGAGTTGAGGTGACAGCAAGAGATTAGTATTATAGTTTGTCTCACACAATCTGCATGAGATGTTCCAAAGAGCTGACAAGCCTAATATAGCCATGTGTCTGTCTCACAAGACAAGAGACCCCTGCCGTGTGAGAAATCAGTTTGGTGCATGTCTTTAAGTGTTGCTGCAGAGCCCAATCCTTGACTGACAGCCCCTTCTACACCCATCACCTGTGAACTTAGTATCTAACTGTCCTGAATGTGATAAGGCAAAGAGAGAGAAGCAACAGGTCCCCAGTCACACAGCACTCAGAAGAGCAGGAACAAAAACCAAGACCCCTGTCCACAACCAAACCCACTGTGGGAGCCCCACAGATCACAGCACATGCACTAAGTATGAGCCCTCCACTGCCAGCCTGAACTGGAACATACCTCTGGTAAAGCAAAAAGGCCTTTTTAACCATGTTGTCCCATTCCTCACCCCCAGCCTTTAATAAATCAGGGCGGGGCGGGGGAGGAGGAGGAGCAGACACAACACAGGACTACATCCATTGCATAAACCAGGCCTGACACTACCACAAAACCTTGCGACACAAAGAAGCTGCAACGGGGCTGGCTTGGGCTGCCATGAACAAAGAAGCAAGGGGATGCGTTAGGATCTTGGGGCAAGGTTCCCTTTGCTGAAACTGGTATTTGTTTCTCTGGTGTCACAGATGGCGAGGAAACGGCCATCCTAGATGAGCTGACCGGGAGAATGGGAAACCTCCAAGCATACGTGCTCATGAAGTCAGCAGGGCAGTGCCCTTGTAAGCCCATATCTAAGCAGACGGGCTTCTGGGCCTGACAGGCTGAAGGACCTTGCCATTACCAAGGGCAGGGAGCAGACCTAGGCTACAATGTTTGTAGCCCAGGGGCAGGCTGTGACAGGGACATTAGGTCACCTACCCCCAACGCTACGAGCAATAACAGTTGCAGTGGCTACCACAACACCATTCTCCTTGCCCAAATCATCCTGACCGTTATCATATACCACCTAAATCAACGGTAGGACCCCTATACAGCATGTTTGTACACCACATAAGGCTCCTCCTCCTCAGCTGTCTGGGGTAATTTCTGCAAGGGTAACAATAAGGCAAGGCCAGAAACATTGCTGGAAAAGCCAGTCCAAGCACAACCTGAGTAAGTGAATATGGTCACACTGCTTATCAGCTGGGGCAGCGTTTGAAAAACAGGTTCTTGCTTCTCCAGCCCTCTTATTAGGAGTCGCACCTGGGCCAATAAGCCTCTGCCTTTCTTAGGCCTCACTCACCAGCCCTCCCAGAGGTCCCTGTGCTGGTCACAAATGTCTTCCAGGTAATGATTAAAGGAATCCAGAGCTGAAGCAGATCAACAAGTGAGAAGCTAGTGAGTAACACTTCAGGAGAACTCCAGCTCTCTGGTACAAACACACACAACCTGGGCCACCAACCGACACACACGGCTCAATTAACAAGCAACCTCAGCTATTTTTAGATTGCTGATAACAAACACCAGCCAAACCCATTTGGGTAACAAAGTGTGGAGCTCTGCTCTTTCCCATACCATGGTTTTCCAGTGTGTATCAGTGGCTGGTATCCCCCACTGCCCGAGACAGGGTGTTGCAGAGATCCCAGTTCCCCACAAAAGCAGCAGCAGAGTTTAGTGCCATGCAGATGACTGAAGCCAAGCCTCTACATCGGGCATGAACAGCAGTGCCTGGGGAGACCACAGGGGTAATGCATGAAGGCAGATGTACCAGAGTAACCCTCCCACCCAGCTGCTGACATCCCACATTGCCAGTGCCTTTCATCACAACACCACCTGAATGCTCCAGTGCAGTGACTGGCCCCAATTCTGCCCCAGTTAACTTGAATGTGAAAAGACCTGAACCCACAGCAGCCCCACAGGAAAGACTGCCTTCTGCTGGGATGGTAAATGGCAGTCAGAAGCAGCTCCCCTTACTGTACCACAGGGGAGACACTGGGGAGGAAAGGGGGCTAGGGGCAGCATCAAGAGACTCCCTGGACCCCAAGGGAAATGCCCACAGGTTTGTGAGGGGCATGTACAGCAGGCCTGTGCTGCTGCAGCCAGATCTGGGGTGGGGGAGAACAGAGGCTGCTCTACACCAGCGCCAGCCTGTGCCTCTCCTAAAACCACCACTACACCACTGGCGTTAACTGTCCCACCCCCGGCAAGCGACGAAGGGGCCCAGGATTACCAGCGCCCTTACGCCAAGTACGCAGGGTCCCCAGCGAGAGGGGCGCCGCTAACGCCATCGGCACAAAGCCCCCGGCGGCGCTATTCACAAAGCCGGCCGGACTCCCCGCGGAAGGCAAGGGGTGAAGAAGTTACGCGCTTAGTTTACGGCCACAGGGAGGGATTCCCGGGCCGCGGTACGCCGGGAGCGGCCGCACCGGACGTTCTAGTGGCGCCGACTTACGCCAACAGCGCTGCCGCGCCCCCGGTATTCACCAAGCGAGTTTACGCGAACTCCGGCTCCGCGGCAAAGCTGGAGAAAAGGGGGCAGAGCTACGCCGTTTGCGTATCTCGGCCTGGAGCCCTTCCCCCCGGGACTCACCGGCCGACGAAGTTCTCGAGCACGGAGCTCTTGCCGGCACTCTGGCCGCCCACCACGGCGATCTGCGGCAGGTCGAGGTGGCAGCTCTGCCCGATGGAGCTGAACGCGTCCTGCAGTTTGTTCACCAGGGGGATCAGCTCCTCCATCCCCCGGTTCCCCATGGCGGCGGCGGGGCAAAGGCTCCCGCTTTCCGGGCGGCGGCGGCGGCTTCTCAAACGGCCCCCGGCGGCGGCGTCGGACAAACTTCCCCTCAGACTCTCCTCATCCGGCTCTGGCTACGCCCCCAGCTCTTCGCCCCGCCCCCTCCCTGAAGGTACGCTTTCCACTGGCCAGAAGGGCTGTCACTCTGGACCGGCAGCCAATCGGGAGGCGGAATTCCCTGTCAATCAATAGGAGGGAGCGGGGTTGGGACGCCACGCCTATTCTCCGTACTTTCATTGGTCGCTTGACTTATCACTCCGTTCCTCCAACCAATGGAGGCCCTCGGTGGTTCGGCCTCTCTCCCGCCCCGAAGCTTTATTTTGCTTTCTCATTAGAGGATCTGCCTGTCGGTCATAGCTCGAAAGCGCAAAGCGGGGCACGCCATCACGTCAACCTCTCCTTCGCGCACTTTCATTGGTCTAAGGTTCTGCCACTCGACCACAACACCCAATCACTGGGAGAGGCAGGGCTTTCAAGAAAAAAAGGGGACTGACTTGTCAATCATCGTATTGCATAATCTGATTGGTCCTTTTGTTCCACTTCCCGCTCCTACACCATCCGAGGGTGAGCGCCCTGGGCGGTGAAGCCCATTTTACCATATGTATTCGTGTAGAAGTCACCCCAGTTGATCTCCTCCATTGATCCTTACAGCGCCCATTACCGTATATCTCCCTCTAGAAGCATCATGAAATTATGCTACCACATTTCACCCTGGCAAAGATCATCCTTGGCATGCCCTGTGCTGCTACACCACTATGCTAGGACAATTTTTCCCTATAGAAACATTGTGTCGGGCAACTCTGGCAAACTGCTGCCTTCCATGACCTTACTGTATTCTCTCAGTTATAAGCTCACCGTTTTCCCGAGTAGCAGCCCAACAGTGAGGTATTCATCATCAGATGCTGTCTCATGCAAAACATGAGCATCAGTCTGAGAGAGACCTCAAGGTCTCCCATAGCTCGCCCACTGCTCAGGCCGCAGCCTCCTGTGTGTTACAGCCTGCTTCCAAGGAGGAGGGGAGGGGGGAATGATTTGGAGGGTGACACCCAACAGTAGTCTTCAGCATCGGCCACAATTAATTCCTGGATGTTGCATTGCTAGGCTGCATTCACCTACTGGGTGCAGAGCTGTTTTATTGCCCACTGCCAGCATCTGCTCCCACCTCTCCAATCTTCTGTTGCTGTGTAGTAGCTTTGCGGGGAAGCTGGAATCAGACTGGTTGCTGCTTCATTAACAGAGCTGCAAATATCCAGATGGCCATATGACAACTTCCTTCTGGAGCACATGTATGTTCAGAGCTGGATTACTGAGAAGACTTTGTTAGCCTCATTATCAGCAATGTCACTGTCCTCTGCTGTAGCATATATCGCAGCTTGATTTCTCTCGGGGTTGCTGCAGCAGTGAGGCACAAAATGACTCTGTTTCCCATGGCCCAGGCATCTTTGCCCATCCAGTGAGCATTTCTCTAGCTGGCTTTTCTGCTGCTTCCCATAGTACCAACATTGGACTGCATCCTCTGTAGGCCTGCCTTCATTCTGTCTCCCGGATCCCCTTTAAATTGACCCTGTTCTGCACCAGCAATTGTTCCGAGTCTCTTGTTAAGATAATTTGGCTGCCCTTGAAATTTGGAGGCATTTGTCCAGAATCAGATTGGCGTCTCACATAAAAACATAAGAACTGCCATTTACTGGGTCAGACCATACATTTATTGTGCCCAGTCTCCTGTGTCACACAGCAGCAGAGAGCAGAAGCTGAAAGGAAGAGTTCACTGGGCATAATCAGGGTTTTGCTCCCTTGTAGCCTCCAGCATTTAAGGTCTGGGAAATTCTGAATCAGAGGCTGTGCCCCTCATTCCCATGCTCAATAGCTACTGATGCCCCTTTCCTCCAAGAACATGTCCAATTCCTTCATGAATCTGGCTGAACTCTTTAGTTTCCACTGCATCTGACGGCAACGAGTTCCCCACTTTAATAACACACTAGGTGAAAAAGAACTGCCTTGTGCTCCTTTTAAACTTACTATCTGGTGGTTTCATTTTGTAACCTCTAGTTCTTTCCTGATGAGAGCTAGTCAATAATAAGTCCCTATTGACTTTACCTTCACCATTTAGTTTCTTGTAAATCCTTCTCATGTCCCCCCCCCCAAGCATCTCTTTTCTCAACTGAACAGACCTGGCTTTGTTAGTCTCTCCTCATTGGGAAGCCCCTCCACGCCTCTGCCTTTCTCTAGCTCTTCTGTATCCTTTTGGAGGCATGGGGACCAGAACTGGGCAAGGTACTTAAGGTGTGGACACACCATGGATTTACAAAGGGGCATGAATATACTTTCATAATACTTTCAGCAATCTCTCCCTCATTTTAGGCCCAGATGGCCCACAGATAATTCTGTCTCTAATAAGGGAATCTGTTATGTTTCCAAAATTACATGTGGATGCCAATGTTTTCAGCTCTGTCACATAATTATCTATTCCTCCTTCTGGATCCTGATTCTAGGTTGAAAAAAAAATAGTGTCTTATATATCTTTCCACAGGCTCCTTTTTCTGGGATCACAGGACTCATCCAAAGCCTTCATCGGTTGCTCTAATGTCTTGAGCCTCTTGGAGAAAAACATGTTTGTTGAAAGTTGGTCTCCAGGCACTCCCTTTATCTCAGTAGTAACGGGAAATGTTTTACCTTCATTGTCCCATCCGTACCTGCCATTATCAGCTGTGTATCCATGGTCAATTCTTTCTTCTGCTGTTTCGCAGACTGGAAATCTGACTCCCTCCATGCTGCCTGCTTTTAAATCACATGCTGTGGTTTCAGCCACTGCCCCCCATGTTCCGCGCACAGAGCCCTGTGATAAGAGAGCCTCTGTTTGGGCTGCAGCAACTTGGATCTTTATTTTAAGTCCTGTGGGCTCAGTGTTGCTCTTCTCAAGTGCTTAGACGTGTTGCAAAATTTCCCAAGCACCTGGCATTTCCTGGTGTCACCCTCCAAATCATCATCCCCCCTCCGGTTGACCCCTGCAACTGGTGTTCCAACCTGCAGAGAACCTGCAGGGTTGTTACACAAAGAAGCTACTGGGGGCAGCCACCACCAGGCTGTCTGTGCAGACGGGCCTGATGGTAGCACAAGGTTGACTGCACCTTGCCAATGCAGCTTCTCTCAGTGCCCTGGGCTGCAGGTGTCCCCTGATCCCCTGCTCTCCCCCTCCAGGCCCCTGCAAACCCATGCTATGGTGGGGGGGGGCACAGACCCCCCCGCAAGGATGCTCCCTCTACAGGAGCTATCCTGCATGGCTGTAACAACTCCCACCTCCCCTGCCTTAGATCCTAGCCCCAGATCTTTTCTGCCGTGCATGGGCACAGAGCCCAGCCCTCATACTCCCCCAGGGGCTTGATGCAGGTGAGAGGGGTGGGGGCCCTCGACACCCTGCAGTCCGGAGATGCGGATGATGGGAAGGATGGAAAACTCCCTTGGCCATAAAGGGAGCCCACGCCTAGCACCAGGCTTCTGGCAGGGATGGGGGCTAGAGGGGCATCAGGAGTTATCTTTGCCCCAGCTGAGTCCAAGAGGCTGAAGCCAGGCAGTCCAGTGCAGTGAGGGTGTACACGCATGTGTACATACATGTGCAGGACAGAGGCACTTTTCAAGCAGTTGCAATTCATATCCTTTTATATCCAGGGCTCTAAAACATCCCCCTGCCCTGCAGGATCCAGGATGGACCCACAGTAGCTTACAGGCAGGGCCGGATTAACCCTTTAGAGGGCCCTAGGCAAACAAACTCATTGGCCCCTACTTAATACTGTATATTTATATTACTTTTTTTCACTCAATAATTATAATACGTAAAATAAGCACAACTGGGCCTCCTCTTCAATTAGGGTCCTAGGCATGTCACTAGTTTGCCTATGCATTAATCCGGCCCTCCTTGCAGGAGGCATCTAAAGTGCATGGGAATGTCCAAGCAGGGTCAGGCCTGGGCGTAGTGTTACGTCCAGTAACGTTATTTTGGGCCTTGCACCAGGTGTTAATTCCAAGACTAGAACATGGTTACTCCTTAACCAATAACAAATGTATTAAGCCATTAGCAGTTACAGTTCTATTACTGTAGTTAATCAAAAGCAATACAACATGCCTCACCACCCCAAAATCTAATGAACATGACGTCACTCATTGATCAGGCTGTGAAGTCTTGTCCATGGTCAGAGACTACTGTAGCAGGGCACGCGGCCTGGGGCAAATCAGCCTGTGCAAGGCCCCTTTAACACTAAAAGGGGCGGGGGGCCCCAGAGCGCAGCCCAAGGCAGTTGCCCTGATTCGCACCCCCCACTTCCCTCCCCTCCCCACCCAAAGGACAGTCCTATCTGTGGTTTCCAACTCCTTTGCCTGAGTTTTGAATCTTGGGTCGGTGATTGGACCTTTCAGGAGGAGGCTCAGAGGGCACACTCTCTCACCTCTCTTTATATACTATATAATTTTTAATAAATAAAATTAGCTTAAGCCTTCCTCCTAATGCATTATTAATAATTTTGCTTCTGATTGCCAAATATGGTTACCCTTAACTGGAATTTTCTATTCTGAGGTAATCTTTTCATTCTTAGGTGGGGGTAGGCTTTGCTCTGACTGTTCTTCTTCTGCCCAGGCTGTATTCATTCAATTTAGTTAGCCAACTTCCAGATTAATTTCAAGTCAGGAACAGTATTTTTCTATCTGGTCTTTTTCACCAGGTGCAAGTCTTGACCACAATTCAAGCTAAGCATGCTGCTTAAGCTAAGCACAAAGGTCAAAACCCAGGCCTAAAGCCTTTGGTCCCAACAGTAGCCAGGTCCCAGGCCTGCCTCTCTCCATGGAGGCTGTGGGGAAGGACATGGAGTCAAGGCCTATCCAGTCTGACCTGTCCTGCCCCCTGTCTCCCCTCAGCTCCTTGCCATTAAATGCAGAGATCAGTCTGACCATGCAGCTGCCCTGGGAGAAGCCACAGACACACTTATCCCCGCCTATCTTTATGCTGGGGAAGGGCATGTGCTGTGTGCCCGTTCTGGGCATGGGGGGTATTTGGTGGGGGGCAGTCTGTGTATGTTGGCATAAGCTGCTGGCC